CACTGTAGGGACGACCCGTAGATGGGGCGGCGTTTAAAGGCTGCAGCTCTCGGGAAGGGGCATGGAGCGGCCCCGCCGCGTCCTTGGGGCGCCCTTTCGGATTCCTTGCTGCTCCCGCGGATCAGTCCCACGCCGCCTGCTCTCTGCAGCCCCTTTCGCTGGTTGCTGAAACGAGACGAGCTGCAACACGCCGTCGCCTTTCCTGCTCTCTCTGGGCAGCGAGACGAGTTGGGTGGGGGGAGGGGGAGAGGGGTAGGGAGGGGGCGGAAGGGCAGCGGGCGTTCAAACTTGCTGCTGCGTCTTCCTAACCTGCGCGTGACTCCTCAGGAGAATTGTGGCCGTCTGTTCCAGGCAGTGCAGCGGTGAGTTATTGGGTGTTTTGTTTGCGGGGGTGGGAGGTTGGGGAGGGGGCGACTATTTTCAATACTGCCCCTAACGAGCTTCTCCACATGCCGCACTTTTTGCAGGCTCAAGCATCAGATACCAGCTTTCGCGTCTTCCAGATCGATTCATCAAATTAGGTAATAGGAAAAGCAGTCGAAGACTTCTGGAGAGTTCCGAAGCCTGCGCTCTGTGTTGGGCTATTTCTTCGTTCCGATCAACGGTTGTCCAAATGTGAATTTGCAGGGTTTTCCGTTATGGAGCAATGCTGTCTTTACTTTTTTATCTTCTTCAGTCGGGTGTCCACCAGGTGTGTGGGAGATGGAAGGTATTTTCCTCCACCTCATCTGCCTTTACTTTTGCCAGGAGTTTGAGTTTTAGATTTGAAACTGGCTATCCCAAATATTAGGCAATCCAAAAGACAGTGGCCCCCTCCCTTCCATGTACAGAAGCCAACAGCCGCTCCATGGGAAGCCCACACACAGGACAGAAGGAACGTAGGCCGCTATTGCTTATTTATTTCCTAGGCTTGTGTCCTGCCCTTTCTCCAGAGGTCAAGGCATTTTTACTGGTGGTCTCTCTCAATTCTTACCCCCACCCCCACCCCCTGACAGTACCTTGCAAAGCAGGCTGGGCTGAGAAATAGTAATTGGCCCCAAAGTTACCAGTTAGCTTTAATGTCTAAGAATGGCCTTGAACCTGGATCTCCCTAGTCCTAGGCCACTGCCCTGACTGGTAGCCATTAATATCTTTTATCTTCCAAGGATTTAGGTCCCCAGTTGTTCCCTGGAAAGTCTTTCAGAGGCCACAGTGTGGTGCAAAGATCATGTTTTCCTCTCTTTGGAAAGAGGGCAGCCTGTGTGGCTTATTATGCTGATATCACTGTCTTTCTAGTAGCCTAGCTGTATGCAAAGGAAGAGGAAGCGTTTGTTTGTTTGTTTGTTTTATATAGCCACCCATCTCAGGCCAGTGACCAAATTTATTACACAATGATTACATAAATAAATAATTATAACCATAATTATAGCACAATGATTACATAAATAAAAAAAGGTATAACCTGCAGATAATAATACTCTATATGAAATGATAAGCAATAGATAAATGTAAAGATTGAATATGAGTTAATAATAGAATTTATAACATTGGGTGGGAAGAAGAGAGTGCAGCCGATTTAAGTATGTTAAGCAGTATGGAAATATGACCTCTGTTGCATGAATCAGAATGACTGCATCTGCATCTTATTTCCTCTTTTCTCTGCACGCAGCGAGGCTACTAGAAAGGCAATGATATCCCTTTTTGTCAGCTTTGATACAATGGCCCATTGAAAAGTTTACCAATGCCCTTCTTTCCTACTTCAAGTGCTATTCTTTTAATGGTTTAAAATACTAAGTCTCCTCAAGGCAGCCCACAAGATAATGTAAAAAATATGTTACCAGTATACAGATAGTTACTGACAGTGCCCTCACAGAGAGAGAGATGCCAAACCAAAATAAATCATAGTATTGTAGTCAGAATCTGTTGTATTTTCTAGCCCTAGACAGCAATGTAGTCAGAATCTGTTGTATTTTCTAGCCCTAGATGTGTTCACACATCTGCTAAGCCAGCATGTGGTTTATTTGGTTTTGGTTTAATATGTACAAACCCAAATTTTGTATTTGTAACTCTTGATTTATAGTTTGCTGTGTTGCATGAATCCAGTCAATTGTGCATTATTTGATAAACCATGGTTGACAACTTTATGTCTATATGCAATGTATAACTCCCATCACAGGCAAAAGAGAAAAAAAAATTCTGCCCCAATCAATTATCTTCTCCATAGCCTCTATTAGAAGACCCTCAAGGTAGTATTATATGTGAGTGGAAAGTAAATGTACACTAGACTGATATATTAACAATAATTAATCATTCTGTATAGATGCCTCCTTAATATTCCTGCCATTCCAGAATTCCCAGTGTCCTGCTCTTATAACCTTCCCCTCTCCAAGCGAATACAGATGGCTGAGAGCCAAAGTAAATGATATAAGAAATGTGTGATTGTAGTTCCCATGGCTCATTTCTTTAAAAGAAGTAGCAAGAAAGAGAAATATCAAAACAGAGGTCATGATATACAAAAAGATTTGTTTAAATGATTCTTTCCATACTGTGGCCTCAATAATAATCCTGCTCCCTCTTCCAGGTTCCTGTTTATTCCAGGATGCCAGCTACCATTAGCATCAGGGGGAGTTTTTCTCCTGGAGCAAATAATATCTGAGTGGATACTTTTAATCACTATGATTGCAGCATTGCACATAACAAGAAGATTATTTCCCAATCTGACTTAGAATCATAGTGCAAGGATTTGCTCTTTGCCCTACCACCGAGCCAACCTGGATTGGGATCTATCGATCTGTTCTTTATTTTAAAAAGTAAGGTATAGGTAATTATGTGAACTCCATCGCACTGAATTTAGTGGATCCAGCTATTTGGGATGCAAATCTACAGAAAAATCTAGACATTTTTTAAGGCCACGTAAAGAGTCTAGCATGTTTCATTATGAGTCAGATCACTGGATTCTTTGCTGTTCTGTTTTTGATTCAGTTTCACAATCTTTCAAACCCTTGAGTTCTGCAGGTGATATTTCCCACTTGGGAACCATCCACAGAATCAGGGAAAGGGAAGAGGACTGGGCTGGATCCTGTCCCAGACTCCTTCTGGAAGGTCAGATGATGTTAAGGCCAGGGTGAAAATCTGAACCGTGCCCCTGTCTGAAGGTAGACAGCAGATACAGCTTTTGACTGCTGTGCAGTTTCTTAGTAGAAGAAAAAATCATCCAAAGAGCAGCTATGGCTTCAGGTAATTCAGACTGAGTGCCTGAAAATATGGCCCTTCTGAAGATTGCATCCCTCTTAAGCTCTCCATCGCAAGGTGAGGAGGGGGTGAGTCTATGAGGAAGGTCATTCAAGTCTCTGCATGCTTCTTGACAGACTGCAATAGGTGCCACAGGCCAGAATTGTTGAACAACTATTCCTACAAGCATCCTGGCTGTTACTTCTGGCAGTACTTCCACACATCTGGAGGGTACCAGGTTCAAGAAGTCTGGCTTAGGTTCTGAAATCTCCTGACTGAAATGACTCATTTGTCCCTTTCTGTCTTTCAGAAAGATTTGTTTAGATTTGTATTTTTTAGAATGGACAATCCTCAGTTTACAATGCGGTTGATTTTAGAACATTAGTTTTGTTTTTAAATGGATATGTTTATTAGGTGTGTGAGAACACTTTGGGGAT